ATGTTTTTTTAAATAGTAGCAAATAATAATTATATAAAGAATAACATAAATATCTATAATTTCATAATTTTATTGATTATAAAAACATTAATGTGTTTCAACAATATGATTTACACAATAAGAAGATTAGTGTACATGTTTTCTTTGGTAAGAATATGGGATACCATCATATTCATTTCAAAACTCCAAAAACGTTTCAAAATATTTTTAATTAAATTTCTAAAAATCTCTAATCATGTAAATAACTCATAAACTCATTAATTAGTCAACATATAGTTTTGAAATTTTTTTATAAATTGCAAAATGGCATGTAAAAAACATTCTTATGTCTTCAAAATCAATAGCCAATTAGAATGATTCACGCGGATTGCTGATATGTCGAAATCCCTGCCTTTCCTTATGCCATCTAAAACAGATGTTCAAGCTTGCCTAAACGATCCAATCAGAATATATCACTCGGATAGATGACGTGGCGAGATCTTGGCCTTCGATCACTCTGTTACATCTCCTTTTGGATCCAATTTAAATATATTCACGTATTTCTTTTTCTTCAGACCCAAAAAAAAAAGAACCCGAAGAATAGGTTAGGTCTTCTTCGCGCAATCTCCAACTTTTTTGATTCAGCCATTGAAGAAGCCTCTAATACGAAGACTCAGTTTCCATTGTTGTCGCATCCCTCAATCCTTCATTTGCCTCCGATAAACATCAACAAACGTCTAGATCTGTACCCAAAGCTTATTTCTTTTTCCTCATTTCTCGCTTTATCGATTCTTTACAACAATAAGTAGATCAACAAACGTCTAGATCAACAAACGTCTAGATCTGTACAACAAACGACTACAAGTTCTCTAATTAAGTATTTTTCCAATATATGTACTTTGTTAATAAGTAGGATCACAAAATTAAGCAGATATAATGTAAAATCATCTTCAACCAAATAGATTAGCTAAGACTAGAGCAAATATCAAAAATAATAGTCATATATGTTCTCAACATTTTTTTTCATCTATATGACTATATTATATGAGAATACTTGAAGAAAATACAAAAGCCGGTTGCCACACGAAATTAAACCGAAGTCACAAACCCACAAAATGGAATCACAAGCTCCAAAAAAATAAAAAATACATCAGACGAACACAAACTTCCAACAACTGCAAACCATAAAAGCAAACACGAGCCACGCTTTCCTTGTAAAGATTAAGTTAAAATGCAAATTCAGCCTTAAGCCTTACTCGGAGAATGGGTCTTCTAGACAAGAAAAATGTCTACACGGGATAACTTCTTAAGGAGCCTTGATAACAATCTCTTCCACTAGAGAAAAACGACGAGACAGATTCACTGGTACTTCGGGTAGAAACAAAAAGCTCCACTATTTTTAAACCCCCAAAGCTTTTTCAAACCAAGGTTGAAAGGGACACAACACAAGCATAAATTTTTCAAACAGCATAGGTCGAGGGCAAAAATCGCTATGAGACTTCCCAAGAATTGGCTCTCGTCGGTCCTTCTACATCTGAAACCAGAGTCCTCCGGACCAAGAAGGAATTATATATCGAAAAACTACACAACCACCGCAAAAACCACTAGACACACGATAACTCGTTGGCATGAACCACCGCTATCAAACGCCACCCCTTCAAAAGTTGTTGGATCGTGAATGACATATTCATGGATCATTGCATGGACATGTGTATAATGTCATTTATCTGATTAAGTGTGAATGAGAAATGTGGTTTTGGGGTTCATACGGTTTGATGATCAAATCGGTTTGTGGATTCAGACTCGGTTTGGTAGAGTGATTTAATGGCTTGGTTAAGTGGATAAGAAGATAATGAAAGATCTTCTCCTCCTCGTATCTTGCCAACGCCTCCACTTCTTCCCTAAATCTCGCCAAATCCCACTTCCTTTCTCCACTAATTCAATATCATCTTAACGTCAAGGGAGAGATTTGCGTCAACTTCTCCTAACAAGAGATATGTGGAAGTCACAACCGCTTCTCCTTTGATATAAAAACAGAGCATGAGTCTCTTTATCAAAAGTAGAAAGAAAAAATTCGATTACAACTCTCTCTCACTCA